ACCTCAAACTATGAAACTACTACAAGAAAACATAGGGAAACTCCAGGGCATTCGACTGGGCAAAGGTTTCTTGAGAAATACCGAAGCACAAGCAACCAAAGCAAAAATGGAGAAATGGGATCATATCAAGTTAAAAACCTTCTGCACAGCAAAGGGAACAATCAACATAGTGAAGAGACAACCCAAAGAATGGGGAAAAATATCAGTAAACTATCCACCTGACAAGGAATTAATAACCAGAATATATAGGGAGTTTAAAAAAAAAAACTCAATAGGAAAAATCTAATAATCCAGTTTAAAATGGGTAAAAGATCTGAAGAGATATTTCTTAAAATAAGACATAGAAATAAGAAATGGGTGCATGAAAAGGTGCTCACCATCACTAATCATCAGAGAAATGCAAATCAAAACTGCAATGAGATATCATATAATTCAGTTAAAATGGCTTTTATCCAAAAACAGGCAATAATGAATGCTGGCAAAGATGTGGGGAAAAGGGAACCCTCGTACACTGTCGATGGGAATGTATAGCCACTATGGAGAACGGCATGGAGGTTTCTCAAAAAAAATTAAAAACAAGACTACCATAAGATCCAGCAACCCCACTGCTAGGTATATGCTCAAAAGAAAAGAAATCAGTATATTGAAGAGATATCTGTACTCCCATGTTTACTGAAGCATTTTTCATATTAGCCAAGATTCTTAAACAACCTAAGTGTGCATCAACAAATGAATGGATTTTTAAAAGGTGGTACGTATACACAATGGAGCACTTTTCAGCCATACGAACGGATTTTTAAAAGGTGGTATGTATATACAATGGAGGACTATTCAGCCATAAACAAGAAGAATGAGATTCAGTCATTTTGCAACAAGATGGATAAAACTGGAGGACATTTTAAGTGAAATAACCCAGGGACAAAAAGACAAATTTTTGCATGTCCTCACTTATTTGTCGGAAACAAAAATTAAAACAATTGAACTCATGGAGACACAGAGTACAAGGATGGTTACCAGAGACTGAAAAGGGTAGTTGGTGGGAGCAGGTGGGGTGGGGGATGCTTAATGGGTACACAAATATGGTTAGAATAAATAAGATCTAGTATTTGATAGCACAACAGGGTGACTACAATAATAATTTATTGTACATTTTAATATAACTAAAAGAGTGTAATTGGAATTTACAACGCAAAGAAATAATAAATGCTTGACGTGATGAACACCCCATTTACTTGATGTGATTATGCACTGTATGCTATATCAAAATATCTCATGTACCCCATAAATATATATACCAATTATGTACCCACAAGAATTTTTTAAAAAGAAGAAAAGATAATACATAGAAGGGAAAATGCTATGGATAAAACTAGAATAAGCAATAACTAATATTTTTGAATGGCTACACTACCCCAGGAAGTATGTTAAATGTTTTCCATTTGTTATGTCGTTAATTTTACACAAGTCTATGAAATAGCAACTTTTATTATTCTCCTACATTACTCTTATACAGAAAATGCATCCTAAGAGAGTAAGGGACTTCCTCAAGATCACACAACTACTAAGTGATATGACTTCAAATCCATTTGTGTTATTTCCAAGACCACTTCTTAGCTACCACATTCTAAGAGTTAATCTCATATTTAAAAAGAATTAAAAGTAAAACACAATCATACTGCTACATGAACAACATAGGCAGTTAAACATAGTGGATTCCAGAAGACACAGAAATCACAATGGTATATGAAACAATCAGAAAGTAAAATGAACATCTGGTTCATTATTCACCAAAAGGCACTTTGCGAATGCACCCTTTTGGTTTTGGTCTAGCAAGCATTCCGCTGTGGCCACCCTGCAGGCTACCAGAAAAATTGTTTTAATAGAAATTGTGATCACAATGAAGAATTCCTGCTGAGCATGACAAGTCTACATATAAATTCCTCTAAACAAGTTAAATGAGGACTTCTGGATTTTGCATTTTCTTCTTAACGGAGTCCACAATTTGGTTCAATCCCAGCTTTTAACCCGAAGTATAAAAAGAAACAATATTTTTAAGTTATTAATGTGCTATTATCAACTGGTTTACATAGTTATCATTTTAAGTATTCATTTCTGTCCTTCACTCTAGGCAAATGTTTGTAGGTAGATATCACAGTTATTAAAACTTCCACAATTTATGTATTAAGTATATCACAGTAGTTTATTTCCCCTAGAAAAAGCCATCATTTTATAGTTATGTCATGCTTTACAATAGCTCAGGAGCCCAGACCTATCCCAAATGGTTCCAAGGGCTGCCTAGAGAGGGCAGCTAATCTTCACAACCTTTCAAAGGGGCAGCTTTTTACTCCTTTTTAGAGATGATTATAGATAAGGCACTTCACAAATGCTTTGCATGAATGATGATCTCATCTAATCCTCACAACAAACCTGTGAGGTAGATTATATTACTATCTCCATTTTACACATAAGGAAACTGAGGCTTGGATATGCATGTAAATTGCCTAATGATTCACAGGCACCCTAAGCAGTCTTCCCTGAGAACCCTTGTTATCATGCTGAGCCTTTGTTGACCAGATTGGGGAATGAGACTCAAAGAGGTTCAGCAAATTACTCAGTGTCATATAGTAAGTAGCAGAGTCAGGTTCAAATGTAGGTCAACTATTTCTAAGTCTAATGTTGCGGTGTTACACCTTTTCTCATCCTTATAAACTTGAAGCATACCATGTGTCAAAGAACTGTCATGGTGGTATATTTACCATTTGAAACAGCCCCCTAAGTGAATCTGATTGATATCATTTTCCATTCATATTCCCCAGAAAGTAGAAACTTAGGTAAAGCTTATGTGCTAACTCTTTCTTGAGAGGGCAATTCCAGGATATCACAAGTAAGAGAAGAAGGGGCATGGAGCATGAAGGGAGGTTAAGTAGACATAAGGTACTGAATTCTTATTAATAATAATTACCAGACCACTGTAGCACTCTAAAAACACACTTAAATATATATATATAAAATCCTCAAACTTCATTTTCACCTTTAAAAATAAAACAAATGAGAATAACTAAATGAATGAAGTTTTATAAACATATAAATGTTTAAACCACACACACATACACAAACACACACACACACACACACACACAAACAGACACTGTAGTGGCCACCATCTGTTAGGAACCACCTTTAAGCTCTTTTTCTAATGATGGCATCCCATTTTCTTCTAGAGAACCATCTTTATATTTGTATAACCATTTGGTTCAATCCATACCCTATGACCTAGGTCTGAGCAATGAGATTATCATAACTTCTTGCCACCGCAATTTATTTTTGAATGGACAGTTTACCTAATACAGGCAAAACAGAGTAAATAAATTTCAGCCTTTTGCTAGAACTACTAGGAAGTAAATCATTATGCGAAGAGGCCAAAATGGCAATAAAAGCTATGATGTACAGATGGCCATCTTGCAACCCTAAGGGAAAAGTCTACCTAATAATAAACATGTAATAACTCAGAAGCAAGGCAGGGGTAGGTTTCTAATGCCTAGATCCACCCATGCCTGCAGTCAGTTATTTTTCAATCATACTTAATAATTACAATTTAAATTAAAAGCAAAAATTGTTTTAAGGCAATCTGAGCTGAATTTTTTTGTCATTTGAAACCAAGAGTCCTGATATACCCTCTTATTATTGTAACTGGTTAAAGTACAACTAATTTCCATGTGTTAGGTGTATCATTAAATTAATTGCATTGAACAACTTTTTTAAATGAAATCCAAGTTTTGGAGAGATGTGTACAAGTCACCTAGATTTTCTTCATGCCTTAACATACCTTTACCCCAACCAATCCAGAAAATCACCATCAATTTACATGTTAGCAAGCCACAGATAAGTAAATTAGACAGTTACTTTTTCTGTTTCAAATTAGCCAAAAAACTGGAACAGTCAAATAGTATTCATTAAAATAGATAATTTTAAACATATTTAGGTATCCATGTATTAATAAGCTCCCACTCAAGAAAAGCTGTCAATTATCACAAATTATTCTTAATATGTCATGACATTATTATTCAGCTGTAGAGCGTCAACAGCACGAAGAGTCTGAGTTTCATAATATTATCAAAGTGCATTAGTTAGGAGCAGAGTAAGTTCAATTTCAGCTAGCAAGCAGTGATAAAAAACAAGAGTTTACTCAGATATTTTTAAGAAATATCTGTACTGTCGCTTTTTATCTTAAAAATGTAGAAAAATAATTTACCTGGGGTTTACATTACACAAACATTATACAAATTCAGGTCATGTCTATAAGATACACAGAATTCTTTAGAATATAAAGGTGGTACTCCCTGCATTCTATAACTTATTCAGTGTAGTTCCTTCCCAACTTCTGTCACAGCAGTGGGTTAAAAATTAAAACCAGGATCTCTGTCAGTGATGTAAATATGTATTTTTCTTTTTTAAATGCTGCTAAGCCACTCTCAAAGGGGTAGTCTCAGTGATGGCACAGCAGTAAAGCAAGTTTGGTCCATGAAATTCCATGTTTCAAAAAATGATTGGCCCACAGCCTTTTTGGTCTGCTGCTTCTTTTATTAATTATCCCAATTATACTCATTGTCATTATATTAAGTAGTTTATTAATATTATTTCAATATTTCAATAATCTTTATCAGAGAGAAAAGTAAAATTCAAATCAATCACTTGGTTTTTAGCAGCCTCAGTGATGACCTAAAGCTAAGTAACTAATGATAAAACTAAACATTTTGACATTTTTTTCCAAATTTCACCTTCCATGATATCATTTTCCTTACTTAATCCAAACGTGTACAAAGTACAAGTCTGCATGGTATTTATACGGCTTTGAGAAGAAATGGGTTCACAGAAACAGTAATCACCCAATGGCTCCATCTTCATATTGTAAGACTGCATTCTCCCTAGTAGATTAACATCCCAAGAATGTGCTGGGTCCTTAAGGAGTGTTTCACACATATTGATTATTTTGGCTCCAGCCCTCTGCAAAACAACACCTGGAAGAGGTACCACATTACAGACACCATCATCAGAGTCACTCTCAATACGCTGCCAAGGATGTCAACTCCCAATGTTCCCAAGAAGGTAACACTTGAGATGCCAAAACAACACAGTAGTGAAAACAAAAGCAGGAGACAAGGAAGTCTAGATGGACTTAGTGGGTAACAGGAATTTTGGAGGTAAGTACAGAGTTCAGAACATCATTCTGCCCCTGATTCAGATCTAAATTATGTCTTTTGACACATATCACATGCCAGAGAATTTCCAGAAGAAACGTTAAGTGAGGACTCAGGTAAAAAGGAGGAATTCATACAACCACATCCGTTCAACCACATTTAACCACCAGGGCATATCTGCCTTGTTAAAATTACAAGGTACCCAATGCCTTAAGTATCTAAATAATTATTACTTCTACTTGTGTTTAGCTTCTTGCAGTCTTTTGTTGAGATCAAATTACTTTCCCCAAAGACTCAACTATACCCAGATCCTTCCATTAGTGAATTTTTTTAAAAAATCGTTTTTGTTGTTTGTTTATTCCAGTTATAAACAAGTTTCTTGCACTTACAACAACAGGCTGATTAATTTATATAATATATATAGAAAAAAAACACCAGAAGGACATATACTAAATGTTAACAATTATTATTCTTAAGTAATAGAACCACTGAGGATTCTTATTTCCCTTGTTTTCCTTCTGTGCAAGTTCTAAATTTTCTAAAATTAGTATTAATATCATATTTATAAGGAAAACAAGCCAATTAAGGTTTTTTCAGTTGCTAAATTGAGAATAGGCATGTCAAATTATTGCCACACACTTCCTTACAATATTTGAAAATGCAGAATCTCAATTATCTTTCTCAAAAAAATGTCCAACACAAACATAATCTTATAGCACTTGCCTTTACTGCTGTGTAGGGACTGGAATAGCCAATTCTGAACCAAGACTGGCCATGGTTCTGAAAGCTACTTAACTGAGAAGCCACAAAAGCCTAAAAAAAAATCCCATGGTCACAGAACAATGGGGATGAGAGTGAGGGGAATTTCATGCAAGTTGCATGGAAAGGATACTTTCTGTAAACAGAACGGAAAACACTTACTAATTGAAATGGTAAAGAAAGAATATGGCTGCCCAGCAACCTTTTCCTGAAGGACTTAAAAGTTTCTTGTGCATGTTGTAAACATCATTTCCATTTACTTTTAATTTCTCACTCCCTACATCACTTCTTTCTTCTCTGCCAGAGCTGCCCATGATAAGGTTTACGTGATGAATCACTCTGCTTAAGAGTGAACACATCAGCATTTTCTCCAGGTTCAACTCAGACCCATTATCAGCACAATTTATACCCTGAGGTTTCTAAAGTCAGACTCAATTCTCATCAACATTAGGAAATCTTCAAGATTCCCAAAATAAACTCTACAGATTTGCTCGAGTGCAGCTATTTTCTATACAGAGTAGCTAAATATATAGCTCCAATATTAGTGTCACAAGCGCCAAACTAATGATGCCATTAGATGCTTCCATACACAAAAGAAGACTTCTCTCTCCTTCCTGTAGACTCTGTCAAAATGCCTAAGAATATAGAGGCACTGGACCTTAAAAAATCTTTAGGATTTCTGACTTCATCCCCACATTGCCAAAAAATTCTTACCCATATTACCTGGATAGCAATACTGAAAAATGTGGTTTAAAAATACCATTTCTTTTAAAACAGGAGAGGAATGGAGGCCTCAAGGAAATATTACATGGATGCCTGTTCTTTCTTATTTGAAAAAAGGTGACATCCCCACAGATGTATTAACACTCTAAAGATATTGCTGGAACTCTGAATGTAATATAGAAATGTCAACAAGATTCGACAATAAGGTTTTCTTCTTTTCTGTCTTATTTAGATCTGTTCAGAGTTGAGGGTCCAAAATTAGTGGCAGTGATCCTCAACTTTTGTGAAGTTTAATTATATTCTCAGCAAAGAAAAAATAAATGTAACAGATCCTCCAACACTTCCTACTTGACATCTATAAGTTTCACTGTTCTCAGACAACATAATGCTTCGTTTGCCTTGTGCTATGGTTTAGAAGTTTTTTACATCCAAAGCTCATGTGGAAATTTAATTGCCATTGTGGTAGCATTGGTAGGTCAAACCTTGAAAAGGTGTTTACCTCACGAGGGTTCTGCCCCCAGGAATAGACTAATACCATTATCTTGGGAATGGATTCACCCCCGCTTGCTCTCTTTTGCCTTCTTTGCCCCTCTGCTTTGTGATGCGTTCTGCCATGTTATAACACACCAACAAGGCCCTCTCCAGATGCCAGAACCTTGATGGGGGACTTCTCGCCCTCCAGAACTAAGAGCCAATAAACGCCTGATCTTTACAAATGACCAAGTCTGTGGTATTCTGTGGTAGCAGCACACAAGAGCACACCAGCAACTGTCTACTGATGAGCAAAGACAAAAAACCAGGCTAGAAACTGAAAGAGCACTTGTAAAAACTGAGTTCAACTACTTGAGAAATGGCATATGAATGGCAAGAGTCTAAATAAAAACACAAGTAAATGCTGATGCTGTTTCATTAAGCACCTTCCCAAATGACCAACGGAGATGGTCTCAGGAGATCCATGCTCAGGAAATAATAAAATGGGATCAGTTAAGTTTTTAGAACCATCTTTTAGGGAAGAGGTTCATAATATGTTATAGAAATAAACTTCCATCTAAATCATTCATATCACTAAACTACACAAAGCTAATGGAAAACCTAGATTAGAGTGAGTATGTGGGCTGGCTAAGGGTCTTAATTTTCTGTTAATGTATGCTACAAATAAAACTCATGCATTCTACAGAGTAATACTGACAAAAGTAAATGATTCACCCCCTTTGACACAATCTGTTTTCACTATAATCCCTCTATACATTTCTTAATCCCTTATATTAGAAACCTATATATAACACTTCAAGGCATCTAGAGATAACCTCAGTTCATCAGGGGTGACGTAAGTAAGTGCCAGCTCAAAAGAGATTGACTATTAACAGCAACCTATTCAGAAAGAACAGTTAGAGAAAGTATTTAGTCGCTTTTAAGATTTATGGTAACCTGTAAGGCTTGGCTATTCCTTAACTGGGTGAAGAATTTCCAATTAATTAACTATCGATCAAAAAACTTACAATTCCTTTGCCTTCTCAGAAAACCCCTTCTTTGGATCCATCAAATACCAGCAGAAGCTTGTTTGAAAATACATTTGACTATTCATGGCACTCTTTAAGACCTCCATAAGCTCAAATCTTTCTTTCTTAGAATTACACTGGTAAGATGCTTTAGCAACCTTGTAAAGTAGAGATTAGGCATTCACCTGAAAATTGTCAAAATCCCTCTGCCACCCCTCCTTTGTGAGAAGGGCAGGAAAAACTTCAGTAAAGTGGGGTGTCTGAGATTCAGGTATAGAAATGCATAAAGAGTGAGTCAGGGAACTCCTAGGAAGGCAATGGAAGATGTTCTGGGCCTGATGAATAAGGTAAGCCAAAATCTGCAAGAGGAGGCCACAGTGTAAATGCAGGAGCAGCAAATACAAACAGCAAATCTGAAGGGACTACAAGGAAGACTCAAGGTCAAGTTGTCAATTTAAGACTGAAAAGCTAGGGTAAACTGAGATAAAAGCAACCCAGTCTTGATATGTAGGAGTCAGTAGAACCTAAAGCTCAAGGCAGATGTTAAATATAAATACCTAAGTTGTCTAGTAATACAAAAATGAATTAAAGAAGTGCTGTTGCTTGGAAGTGGTGTGGAAGGAGGAGGGACTGTTCCCAGTAAGTTTTAGGAGAATTCACATAAGACACTAAATTTTTGCCAATTTGTTGGGAAAATTCCCCCAAGTGATCAATGAAGTGTTTGCAGCAGCTGATTCCTACATCCTCAGAGAAAATGAATCTTTATCTCTTAGGGAGCATTCATTTCAAAAGATGGGATTCTGCAAATGCACTCCTATCTAGTGACAGCACAGGGGATTCACTTCATGAGATAACACAGCCCTGAGTCAACAGTAATCAGAGGTAGAGTGATGGGATCAAAATTACGAGACCAGAATCTGGTGCTCAGTTTCAACTCTGAGCAAATCGCTGCTTCTTCCTCGAACTCACCTTCCCGCAACTTTTTGATATATAATAACTACAGGAAAAATGAAGAGATTACTAAAGGTACATCCATGGTTGGATGAATCAAATTTTACTCTTCTGGCTTACAAAATTCTATTCAGAAAGACAAGATAATGCTATTATATTTAGCAATCTACCGATGTATTATTATTCATTCTGGCACTTTAGATCTCATCTTTCTTTTGAGAAGTAATACCAACAAATTTTCAACACAAAGATTGAAAAAACTGAATCTGACAGTCTTAGAGAAAAAAAATAATGCTCAGCAATATTCTCACTCTTTATTTACTCCATTATTTAGTCAAAGTGTACAGTTAGCACTAACAGTATTTAAATACTAACTACATAAAGGAGTTGCAAAATGAATGAATTTTTCAGTGAATGTCCCATCAGTTGTGACCAACATAAATAAACTCACTGAAAGTGACCTAAAGAGGTAAAGGCATATAACCAACTCCAGAGACTTAAGTAAACCTGAAAATCCAATGGAAAAATAAAGCACATGAATAGGATGAGGATTTCCAAAAACAGAAGGAAAGGGAAAAGTCTGCATGATGGTTCACAGATAAAAAGAATATGTGGTGAAAAGAACTAAGCTATACACAAGGGTGACTTACTGAAATGAATCGACATTTTATGTACAGAACAAGTTTTGATTCACAGGTCCTACTGACAATTATTTAAGGTTTCCTCTTTAAGTAGTAATTTGACTTAAAAACAAATACAGAATCAGCAATCCAAGAGATACCAATGAATATTAAACAATATTGATTATCTCTGAGCTGCACCCAAAACACACACATATTAAGATTGTTATAGCATAAGATATGTCCAGTCACTCTATTCTTGCATAGTGGAGATGTTAGGAAGCATAATTCTCTACTACAATAGAACAAAACTCATATTAAAATAACACATGTAAATCAGCCACTAACCATGTTCCTTAAAAATGATCTTAATTTTTCAGAACAAGAACCTAAATATTTTTACAGATTTCATTATTGGTTTACATAAAAATAAATTATAGTTAATTAAGTAAATGCTAAACTTCTGTCTTGTATACTCAAAGAAAAACTGGCCAATGCCTAGTTTTTATAATGTTATATTCATCTAATTCTACTTTAAAATACACCAAAGGTGCTATTTAAGTGTTACTTGCGATATCAGCTAAATGAATTCCCTAAACAGAATTCTGAAAGTCAGTTTCTAATTGGTTTTTTTTTTTTGGTTGCTAATGTAAAATATGCCTAAATATTACAATTTATTCTTTGGTTATCATATAGATGTTTATGTCCAAGAATTCATTTCAAAAATGTCAACTGCAATTAAAATTCCTCTGAAATGTCTACATGGTATGTCCTGCCATGAATGACAATTGGTTAATTTGCCTATAAAATTAGCATGCTCTGAGGTGAGTCAAAAGAATGTATCCTTTCACATGCTGAAATCAAACTCACTTCAGAAATGAGTTTCTCCTACACCTTGAATCAATTACTATCTAAAATGATCAAAGACTTTCAGAACAATAACTTGGCTTTACGATGTTATTTGGGGTATGCACAAACAGCTACACATCCACTGCGGTCTTTTCTTCCAAAACTTACACTTCTATTTTCCATTATCACAAGTTTTTATTTTTCTTCTTTTAATTCATCACCACTTACAAACTTCTTCAAAAGACAGTCATAAGGTTTATTAAGTAGAATCTAAATTAGAAATATTACTTAATAAGAATATCTTTTGGTAAATAGCCATTATTATGAACATATCTCCTTTAATCCTCGGAACATTCCCACAACCGAAGTATTATTTCTATATTCATATATGATATGTATTCAATGAGATTATTGCATATATTACCCAGATAACATCTAGTAATGGGGAGCTCTAGACTTAGCAGTTATGTAGCTTTGTCTGACCATAAAGCCCATAGTCTTCCTGCTATAGAGAGCTTCCCTATTCATTTCTATTTCTACTGTATTTGGGAACCTAGGGCACCCTTCGAAACCCCACTATCAAACAGAAGATTTCAAAAACATATCTAGCCATTGGCTTGAACGCTTTGAAAATGAGGCATGTTAAAATCTTGTTAATAATAGTGTTTGTTTTTCTCTTTAAAGTATCCAAGGACTATATATTACCAAATACTTTGCAATGAATGTTAAACTTTTCCTAGACTAAGCTTGGAATTGAGCCATTATTCCTTTACTTTTTAACAAGCCATCCTTTCTATTCCTTTTAATTTATTTTCCTCTGATTTTAAATGGCTTTAAGAACCGCCTACATTCATTCCAGAGCTCAAACAACTTAGCCTATAAACTTGTCAGTTCTAACTTTGGGAGTTATAGATCTGTTTAAGAGTCAGATGAAATGCATATAAACACACACGGGCAGAATTTTATATAAAATGGCTGTTATTGCTTTGGAAAATGATTTTCTTCACACTTGTCAAGCAACTTTCAAAAAAGATACCTCATTCCAGGGAATAAACTCACTTCCTAGAGTTGCATATGCCTAAGCTTCAAATGATGGGTGTACACTAGAAAAATAGGAATAAAATCATCTGACAGCACACACACACACATATACCACCCTGTTACAGCCCTGTCTAGAGAACTTTATAAACACACATGAGCCAGACATAGTGGTGCAAAACTGTAGTCTCACTTAGTTGAGTGGCTGAGGCTGAAGGATTGCTTGAGCCCAGGAGTTCAAGTCCAGCTTGGACAACACAGCAAGATTGTATGTCTTTAAAAAAATCAGACTGGGCGAGGTGGTTCATGCCTGTAATCCCAGCAGTTTGGGAGGCCAAGGTGGGCGGATCACAAAGTCAAGAGTTCGAGACCACCCTAGACAACATGGCAAAACTCCATTAAGGTAAAAATACAAAAATTAGCCTGGTGCAGTGGCATGCACTTGTAATCCTAGCTACTCGGGAGGCTGAGGCAAAGAATTGTTTGAACCTGGGAGGCGGAGGTTGCAGTGAGCTGAGATTGTGCCATTTCACTCTAGCCTGGGCAAGAAGAACAAGACCCCATTTAAAAAAAAAAAAATCATAGAATGAGACCATGCCCTTTGCAGGGACATGGATGGAGCTCAAAACCACTATCCTCAGCAAACTAACACAGGAACAGAAACCCCAACACTGCATGTTCTCACTTATAAGAAGGAGTTGAATAATGAGAATACATGAAACACAAGCAGGGGAACAACACACACTGAGGTCTGTGGGAGCTGGGGGTAGGGAGAGTATCAGGATAAATAGCTAATACAAGCAGGACTTAATACCTAGGTGAGGGGTACAAGGTGCAACAAACTGCCACGGCACACCTTTACCTATGTAACAAAGCTGCGCATTCTGCACATGTATCTAGAACTTAAAATTAAATTTTTAAAAATCAAAATAAATAAATAATTTTCAAAAACCACATGCGAATTATGTTTTAAAAAATATAGCCTATACCACCAGCTGTACCAGCTGACCACTTTGCCTTAAAAACCCATTTCCCTAATCTCCGCTGTGGTGAAATATGTCAAACAGATATTTATAGACACATTCTCTTAGCAACATATTCCATTCCTATTAAAACATTTGCAGATCTACATTACAAATGCTTACAGATAGAGTTATTTGTTAAGGTCCAGAATGTTCAGAGGGAGGATTTTCTCCTAAATTTCACGTGCAGCAAGGCTTTTTCAAAAGTAAGGCTGTTGGCAAATAAATTGAGCCCAGAGGTTGACATTTTGTCAAAACAATCTGCAAACATTTATTTTGTTGCCACAGTTCAGCTGAAACTAGTTCCTACTGAGATACTGACACTGCTATAATGTTGATTCATGCTTCTGTGGCTTCAAAAATTAATAACCGTAACTTTTGTTTTTTAAGTGGTTTGGAATTGCCAGCAGTATGCTACCTCCAACTGGCTCTAAATAAAGCTGTTCATGATTTAAACTGGTTCTTAAAGGCCAAAATGCATCTTTCTTTGCAGTTTTAGGTCTTAACTGGTTTCTTATGCAACCAAGCGAAGCTAAAGATTGTACCACGGTGGCTATACCCAGGAAGTGGTGAAATGGAACTTCAGTTTCCCTCAGTGATTAACTCAAAAACAAAGACTTAATGTCTATGCTATAGTCATTAAATCTTCCATATTATAAACCAGTCCTTTAGGATAATGTGTGTGTTCTTCAACACTTTAATGAGACAGAATAACTAAGGCATCCACCAGCCTCAAAATATCTCTGTAAATCTCCATGTTTGTCTTTAAAGAGTTTCACATTTCATATTTAAAATTAATAGTTCTAGATTTACTTACTATAAAAATATCTTTTTCCAAATATCTAAATAAAAGCGATGTTTCAGGTAAATGTATTTATCCTGTACTCAACCCCAAGAGCACTTAAAGCCCAGTCTGAGGATGAAGTCTTCTGTGCCTCTATTGAAAAAGGTCCACATCCATATCAGTGCTTGCACCATAGCTTTGCAATGGCTTGACCAGAATCCAGGTAAGTATCACCAACTCATATGCATCCTTTCAGTTTCTTTTTCTTTTTTTTTAATACGTGTTTTTATTTTTTTGTTGTTTTTCTTTCTCTTTGTTTTTAATTGCATTTTAGATTTTGGGGTACATGTGAAGAACATGCAAGATTGTTGCATAGGTACACACAGGGCAATGTGATTTGCTGCCTTCCTCCCCATCACCTATATCTGGCATTTCTCCCCATGCTATTTCTCCCCAACTCCCTACCCCCAGCTGTCCCTCCCCTATTTCCCCATGACAGACCCCAGTGTGTGATGCTTCCCTCCCTGTGTCCATGTGTTCTCATTGTTCAACACCCACCTATGAGTGAGAACATGCAGTGTTTGATTTTCTGTTCTTGTGTCAGTTTGCTGAGAATGATGGCTTCCAAGTTCATCCATGTCCCTGCAAAGGACACGAACTCAATTCTATTTTATGGCTGCACAGTGTTCCATGGTGTATATGTGCCACATTTTCCCTGTCTATCATCAATGGGCATTTGGGTTGGTTCCAGGTCTTTGCTATTGTAAGTAGTTCTGCAATGAACATTCGTGTGTATGTGTCCTTATAGTAGAACGATTTATAATGTTTTGGATATACACCCAGTAATGGGATTGCTGGGTCCAATGGAATTTCTATTTCTAGGTCCTTGAGGAATCGCCACACTGTCTTCCACAATGGTTGAACTAATTTACACTCCCACCAACCATGTAAAAGTGTTCCTATTTCTCCACATCCTCTCCAGCATCTGTTGTCTCCAGATATTTTAATGATCGCCATTCTAACTGGCGTGAGATGGTATCTCAATGTAGTTTTGATTTGCATCAGTTTCTTATCATAATAAAGCTATGATTAAAAAATGTAATCACTGTTTAATATCCTTTGTCATTTTTTTTTTTTTTTGGTGGTGGGGGGGAAATAGGCCAAAGTCCTTGTATAGTTCACAACAACTGTCTTCTAAACCTAGGGAAAGTGATAACTATTAGGAAAGTAGCTTTGAACAGGTCAGCTGTGCTTAAATCTGCGGTGTCTGCATCAGTTTTAAGTTTGATACTAATGGGAATAGAACAGAGGGAAAAACAAAGAATCTGTGGGAAAGGAAGGAACCTAAAAAAGTCAGCCAGTCTCTCAAGATTCAGATAGTCATTGTTTGGCTTGATAATTTTATAAACTCCAAGAAAATCAAACATACTATTATTTAATATGTCTAGCTTATCCAATCTCCTTTCAACAGCATGAATAAATAAGAGTTTCCTGGAGGGGGGACTCAAGATGGCGCTGTGAGAACAACCCAGGATTGGAGCTCTTCTCGTTGAATCCGCAAACGGTGAGTCAGAGCGGCATTTCCAGACTGATCTTTGTTGCCCACAGAACGGGGAAACTCCCAAGTATAAAAAAGACACGGGACGCCAGGCAGTAGGTCTGCCTGGCGAAGCCGGCAGCCGGGGCGGCGGTGGCCGGCCCTACCCAGCAATCCCCACAGGGCGCGCTTGTCCGGGTGCCCTGTTGAACCGGCAACCTGAGACTTGAGAGGGCTGGACTTGAGACTGAACGAGACTTGGACAGTAGGCCAGCCCAGGGGATTGCAGGGATTGGGATACCCAGTGGGAGGAACAAAACCGCAATTTCAAACTATCCCGAGCAGACGGTCCGAGACGCTCTGTGGGGGAGGGGCGTCCACCACTACCGAGGCAACCTGCCCCAACTGAGATACACGCCCACTGCTGACGCAGCCAGCCATTGCCGAGGCAACCCGCCACAACTGAGATACACGCCCACTGCTGACGCAGCCTGCCGTTGCTGAGGCAACACGCTACAATGAAGAGACTCCGCCGCAGGGCGTGGCGGAGACCACAGCAGAGCCGGCAGGAACAGCGCAAATCACACAACAGCAGGGCGGAGCCTCGGCAGCCAAACAGTGGCTAGTCTGCCTTCTAGCTGGGCAGGACACCTGATCAGACATCCAAAAATAAAGCCCAAACCCCTCAACACAGAGCATTTGAGAAAAAAAAAAAAAAGGTTTCTTAATGAGCTCTGTTGCAGCAGAATCAAACATAGCAGCCTAACAGCCCTGAATGAAAAACAGAGTGCACAGCTCAGCAATTAAACCCCTATAAAGTACAAACTGTCTCCTCAAGCAGCTCCCTGACCCCTCTATATCCAAAAGACTGACATTAGGCAGGCATCATCCTGGGACAAAGAAAGCAGAAAGAGAAACTGGTAGCATCCCTCACTGTGCCACAGCTACTAGAGGTGCACTCCAGACAAGCAGGGTCTGAAGCAGACCTCAGCAGTCATACAGCGAAGGGGCTAGACTGGTAGAAGGAAAACCAAGCAACAGAAATACTTCATCATCAACATTCTGGGTGTCCACTCAGAGACCCAAACGAAAAGTCAGCAATTACGCAGACGACCAGCGGACAAATCCACAAAGATGGGAAGAAACCAGCGCAAAAACGAGGAAAACACCCGAAACCAGAACACCTTGCCTCCTAGAAAGGACCAAAACTCCTCACCAGCAAGGGAGCAAAGCTGGACAGAGAATGACTGTGACGAAATGACGGAATTAGACTTCAGAAGATGGATAATGAGAAACTTTTGTGAGCTAAAAGATCATGTATTAAATCAATGCAAAGAAACTAAGAACCTTGAAAAAAGATTTGAAAAAAGATTCGAGGAAATAATAACAAGAATGGATACCTTAGAGAGGAATATGAATGAATTAAAGGAGCTGAAAAACACAATACGAGAACTTCGCGAAGCAAACACAAGTTTCAATAGCCGAATTGACCAAGCAGAAGAAAGAAAATCTGAAGTCGAAGACCAACTCAATGAAATAAAACGAGAAACCAAGATCAGAGAAAAAAGCGCAAAAAGGAATGAACAAAGTCTCCAAGAAATGTGGGACTATGTGAAAAGACCTAACCTACGTTTGATAGGTGTACCAGAAGGGGACGAAGAGAATGAATCCAAGCTGGAAAATACTCTTCAGGACATCATCCAGGAAAATTTCCCCCACCTAGCAAGACAAGCCAACACTCAATTGCAGGAAATACAGACAACACCACAAAGATATTCTGCAAGAAGAGCAACCCCAAGGCACATAATCGTCAAATTCAACAGGGTTGAAATAAAGGAGAGAATACTAAGGGCAGCCAGAGAGAAAGGTCGGGTCACCCACAAAGGGAAGCCCATCAGACTCACAGCAGATCTCTCGGCAGAAACACTACAAGCCAGAAGAGAGTGGGGGCCAATATTCAACATTCTTAAAGAAAAGAACTTTCAACCCAGAATTTCATATCCAGCCAAACTGAGCTTCAGAAGTGAAGGAAAAATAAAATCCTTTGCGAACAAGCAAGTACTCAGAGATTTTGTCACCACCAGGCCTGCTTTACAAGAGCTCCTAAAAGAGGCACTACACATAGAAAGGATCAATCAGTACCAGCCATTCCAAAATCACACTGAATGCTAAAGAGCTTCAACATAATGAAGAATCTACAACAACTAACAGGCAAAACAGCCACTTAGCATCAAAATGGCAGTATCAAATTCACACATAACAATATTAACCCCAAATGTAAATGGACTAAATGCACCAATCAAAAGACACAGACTGGCAAATTGGATAAAAATCCAAAACCCATCAGTGTGCTGTATCCAGGAAACCCATCTCACATGCAAGGATACACAAAGGCTCAAAATAAAGGGATGGAGGAAGATTTACCAAGCAAATGGAAAGCAAAAAAAAGCAGGAGTTGCAATTCTCATCTCTGATAAAATAGACTTTAAAGCAACAAAGATCAAAAGAGACAAAGAAGGCCATTACATAATGGTAAAAGGATCGATACAACAAGAAGAGCTAACGATCCTAAACATATATGGACCCAACACAGGAGCACCCAGATACATAAGGCAAGTTCTTAATGACTTACAGAAGGACTTAGACTCCCACACAATAATAGTGGGAGACTTTAACACTCCACTTTCAATACTAGACAGATCAACCAGACAGAAAATCAACAAGGATACCTAGGGCTTGAACTCAGACCTGGAGCAAGCAAACCTGGTGGACATTTACAGAACTCTCCACCCCAAATCCACAGAATACACATTCTTCTCAGCACCACATCACACCTACTCTAAAATTGACCACATAATTGGAAGTAAAGCACTGCTCAACAAATGCAAAACAACTGAAATCATAACAAACAGCCTCTCAGACCATAGTGCAATCAAGTTAGAACTCAGAATTCAGAAACCGACCCAGAACCGCACAGCTTCATGGAAACTGAACAACTGGCTCTTGAATGTTGACTGGGTAAACAACGAAATGAAGGCAGAAATAAAGAAGTTCTTCGAAACCAATGAGAACGAAGACACAACGTGCCAGAACCTCTGGGACACATTTAAAGCAGTCTCTAGAGGAAAGTATATAGCAATAAGTGCCCATATGAGGAGAATGGAGAGATCCAAAATTGACACCCTATCGTCAAAATTGAAAGAGCTAGAGGAGCAAGATCAAAAAAACTCAAAACCCAGCAGAAGACAAGAAATAACTAAGATCAGAGCTGAGCTGAAGGAGATTGAGACACGAAAAACCCTTCAAAAAATCAATAAATCCAAGAGCTGGTTTTTTGAAAAGATCAACAAAATAGACAGACCACTAGCCAGATTGATTAAAAATAAAAGAGAGAACAACCAAATAGATGCAATAAAAAATGATAAAGGGGAAATCACCACAGATTCCACAGAAATTCAAACGATCATCAGAGAATATTACAAACAACTATATGCGCATAAACTAGTAAACCTGGAAGAAATGGATAAATTCCTGGACTCCTGTGTCCTCCCAAGCCTAAACCAGGAGGAAGCTGAAACTATGAATAGACCAATAACAAGGTCTGAAGTTGAGGCAGCAATTAAGAGCCTACCACACAAAAAAAGCCCAGGTCCACACGGATTCACAGCCGAATTCTACCAGACACACAAGGAGGAGCTGGTACCATTCCTTCTAAAACTATTTCAAACAATCCAAAAAGAGGGAATCCTTCCCAAATCATTTTATGAGACCAACATCATCCTGATACCAAAACCTGGCAGAGACCCAACGAGAAAAGAAAACTTCAGGCCAATATCCATGATGAACATAGATGCAAAAATCTTCAATAAAATATTGGCAAGCCGATTGCAACAGCAAATCAAAAAACTTATTCATCATGATCAAGTAGGATTCATCCCGGGGAAGCAAGGCTGGTTCAACATACGCAAGTCTATAAACCTAATTCACCACATAAACAGAACCAAAAACAAAAACCACATGATTATCTCAATTGACGCAGAGAAGGCATTTGACAAAATTCAACAGCCCTTTATGCTAAAAACCCTCCACAAACTCGGTATCGATGGAACGTATCTCAAAGTAATAAAAGCTATTTATGACAAACCAACAGCCAATATCATACTGAATGGGCAAAAACTGGAAGCAGTCCCTTTGAAATCTGGCACTAGACAAGGATGCCCTCTCTTACCACTCCTATTCAATATAGTACTGGAAGTTCTAGCCAGAGCAATCAGGCAAGAAAAAGAAATAAAGGGTATTCAAATAGGAAAGGTGGAAGCCAAATTGTCTCTATTTGCAGACGACATGATAGTAAACCTAGAAGACCCCATTGCCTCAGCCCAAAAACTCCTGAAACTGATAAACAACTTCAGCAAAGTCTCAGGATATAAAATCAATGTGCAAAAATCACAAGCATTCGTCTACACCAATAACAGACTTAAAGAAAGCCAAATCAAGAGCGAACTGCCATTCGCAATTGCTACAAAAAGAATAAAATACCTTGGAATACAACTCACAAGGAATGTAAGGGACCTCTTCAAGGAGAACTACAAACCACTGCTCAATGAAATCAGAGAGGACACAAACAGATGGAGAAACATTCCATGTTCATGATTAGGAAGAATTAATATCGTGAAAATGGCTATACTGCCCAAAGTAATTTACAGAATCAACGCTATCCCCATCAAGCTACCATTGACTTTCTTCACAGAACTGGAAAAAACCACCATGAACTTCATATGGCACCAAAAGAGAGCCCGCATAGCCAAGTCAATTCTAAGCAAAAAGAACACAGCGGGGGGCATCACACTACCAGATTTCAAACTATACTACAAGGCTACAGTAATCAAAACAGCATGGTACTAGTACCAAAACAGAGATATAGACCAATGGAATAGAACAGAGGCACCAGAGGCAACACAACATACATACAACTATACAATCTTTGATAAACCTGACAAAAACAAGCAATGTGGCAAGGATTCCAT